AAAAAAAAAAAAGGGGGGGGGGGGATATTTTGAGAAATTGATTTTTTTTCCATTTTCTTAAAAAAAAAAAAATCAGATAAAAAAAAAAAGAAGTTGGATCTCGAAGCAAAGAACTCTGCTCTCCAAATAACTCCATTTCTCACTCTCCCGGTATTTGTTTTCTAACCTGTTGCCTCCAGGCCCTTCCTCCCTTTTTCAAAGCTTTTTATTCCACTGCAGCTACTGGAAGAAAGAAAGAAAAGACAAGAAAAGAAGAGGAAATCCCTCTCCCAAACAAACTACTGATTCAGCGGCTCTTCGGTCCCCGCTGCCTTTATGTTACATGGAGAAATTCAGAGCCCATAAGCATCAGGCTCGACCGCCAGCTCCTGATGAGCTGAGTGAGCACTTTTGGGGCCACACTGGACACAGGTCTGTACCCACATCCCACCAGGCACTGGGAAGGGGATGGCACAAGCAGGGACCAGACACAGCGTGGCATTAAAAACCCACACCCCCTCTTCATCTCCGAGCGCTTGGCTACTGAGTCTCACTGACCTTTTAAGCCAGAAGAGATCAAATGAAGACAAATGCACCAGGCACTTCATAATAACGAGCCCCCAAACCAGAAAACCTCTGGGAGCTCGCAGTGCTGCTGCAAAACATGGGTCTGATTGATGTGAAACCCTGCTCCCTGCCAGCAGCCAGCCCCCTCAGCTGGCACACCAGGACCGTGGTGCCTCCTTGGCTCCGACGTTCGCGTGACCCAGGATGCGCAGGAGCTGCTCCCACACCACCCCGAGTCCTCGTTACCCTCTGCATCCCCACTGGAGAGTAATCACGAATGCCAGCCCCAAACTCCCAGCCTGGCAACGCTCAGCAGAACTCAAGACTTTAAGCTTTACAGACCTTTATGGAGCCCAAGCTGAGTTTTATTAACTCCAGTAGCTGCCTGGACAAAGCATCCTTTATAAACCCCATTAAGTTCCTGCTTTTAGCAAATACTTTTTCTCTCCACGCTGCAATTATCTGCCAACAAAGCAGAAACCACAGATTGACAGGACCCTCTCCCAGGGATTCTAATGCCCGTTTCTCTACCTGTGACCTACCCATTGCAGGTACGTGTGTCACAGTGGCACAACCAGCCTATTTTTGGAGTCATAAGAGGAGATGCAGAGGAAATAGGAGTCGGGGGGGAGCATGAGGGCTGGAGGGAGAGGAGCAGGGGAGGGGATGCTCTCAGGGGTGATATTCTCCACTCTCTCCTGAATTTCTCTGCAACTGTGGCTGAAGAATGAGCACACCAAGAACGAGCATCTCACTGAGCTCTGGGGCACACAGGGCTTGGAGTGACTCTAGAGATGGAGGCTCCCCCTTGGACCAAGAAATGATGCTCCTTAGCATGTCCCAAAGGATCCCCAAGCCCCTCTGCTCTGCCCCATGGCCAGGATCTCCTAGCCCTGCTGTTCTGCCCCACAGCTGAGCTCTCCAAGCCCTGCTGCTTTGCCCCATGGCCAAGCTCTCCATATCCATGTGTGTCCAACTTAACACCAGCAGAGGATATGTCCCTCCCAGCCCCTGGAGGCAGGACCTGGTTGTGACTCTGTCCTATTTTTGTCACTCCCCGAAAGGCACCTGAAGGCCCGGTACTGCTCAGCCTGACAAACCAAACCATTGTAGCTTTAAGGCACCGCTCCAGAAAGAAAAGGCCTTTCAGCGCAGTGAATAGCATCACTTTTCCTCCACGCACCATCTGTTTGCCAAGATGAAGAGCTCCGGGCTGGCAGAGGCTTAGTCATTCGGACAAGAATAGGTCCCACTGTACTTACACTTCCCAGCTCCCAAAATAAAAACCACGGCAAGTCATTGACTTCACTTACCCTGTAGCGAGCACAGAGCTGGTGCGAGGAAACACCCGACTCAGCTGCTACCTCCTCCCAACACAGAACCAAAAGACGAGCACAGCCCCAGGACCCCCCCAGTCAACGGTGCCTTATCAAGTCCCGTTATTTTTCAGAGAGGGAAGAATTACTGCTTGAGAGCATCCTTACAAATATGCCTGACAACTCTGCCTCATACAGACCCGTATCGTCCCACTCTACTGGGAAAAAATACAAGACGGATCCCAATGGCCAAGACTCAGAGAGTGTTGGGGTCCTCAGAGGTGCCAGCACGTCCTTCCAGGCTCTACGTGTCCCCAGGGACTGAAGTCTGGCCACTCACCCGAATGCCAGCATCTGAGAAACTAGCTCAGGAGATGATTTTAAACACCTTGTGGTTCTCTAAGCCAGGATACTTGAGGAGAGAGAGGTGGGTTTGTCTTCTACAGCTTGAAACCTTAGATGCCTCTTATTCCCCAAACCCAGCGGGGTCCATAAGGCTCCCACCCTCCCTGCAATTCCTGGGCAGGGCCATGATGTGCAATGCAGCCAGCCCTGCATCACACAATAACCACCGCTGGGTTATTGTAGGGTTGCCCAAGGACACAGCGCTGTTCCCTCCATGCATGGGAAGCCTGGACCATCTCCAGCACCCCACCAGGCCCCGGGACATGGCGTGGTGCCACCTCCCCAGCACTGGAACAAGCCAGGCATCTGTGCAGCCCTGAAATCTGCTTCACCACATGAAGTTTTGCCGCTGTTACTCACCCCTTCCAAAGTCTTGCCAGCCAGGAGAAGGGAGGCAGCGGGTGCTGGGATCCAAGTCATCTCCCACGTGGAAACAGGCTTTTCCCAAATATCCCCTCGGGGCAGCTCCCCACGGCCTCATTTGTGCCTCCAGCCTCCTCTATCTGGTATGTGCTGGAAGAGCAGATGGTCCTGTTTGAACAAACTCGAAATAGGTATTTAGGAAACATTCCCAAGGGGAAGCACTGGGAGCTGTCAGGTAAATAACTCTCCATGGGCCAAATCCAGCTCTCCATCACTGCTGCAGGGTGATGCCTCTTGATGCAAGAGCAGAGCCTCAAGCTGCCTACTGGGAGCCAAACCCACTGGCTGGCATCACCACCACCACATGTGGCATGTGGTCCCCTCTGCCCACGGCAGGACAGCCAGGGCTGCTGCCCAGGTACCCGCTGGGATGGGCTCAGCATCAGCCAACCCAGCAGCAACAACTGAAATTCCTCCTCCCCATTCCTGTGCCACCCTTTGGGGACATCAAAAGTGCCCATCCCCTCCTCAAGCTCAGATGTCCATCCTCTCTCTGCCTGAATCCTGGGGAAAATCTGCTCTCAGCCCTCTGCCACCTCTAAAAGGCCACACAGCCCCGTTACTTGGTGCCACCAGGCTACACAGTGATACTGACTCAACCTTCCCCAAGCATTAGTTTACGAGTGGCACAAATATCTTTATGCACTTTGGAGCAGATGTCCGTGGAACCCTGACATCCCTGTGATAACCCGTTGGTCCCTGGGATAACCCATTTGTCCCTGTGACCCCATTTGCCCTCTTCTATTGGATGGGGACGAAGCTATTCACCCCCAACCCTGAAACAAATCCACTGGTGCCCTTTCCTGTGCATTGTCCTTGCTCTTCTCCAGGATGGGGGTCTCTGTTCCCCATCAGCTTGGAGACCTCCACCAGGGAAGCATCCCGGCGAGCGGCCGACCTTGCTCGGGTTTTTCTGGCTTCTTTCACTTGTGGCCCAACCTAAACAGTATTTAAATATCAGCTTCTTGCTCTCTCCTCCCTTTCTTTTTGTCACCTGCAAATTTAGATTAACAAGGAGGTTTGACAAAGTGCTACTGTATATGTTAATAAACCCATTAGTGTCGGCCTGCCTGACATATAACCTGCAGAGCCTCCAATGTTTACTAATATGATTGTCAAAGCAGAGGAACATTACTTTTTAATGACATTTCATATCACTTCAGTTGAAGTAATATCCTGGGACGTGATAATCAGAAAGCCATTTAGCCACAAAACTATGTGCTGAAGAGAGCCTGGCGCATGAAAGATGCTCATTTTGTCAGAATTAAAACATTTGTGTTTGCTTCATAAGTTGTAAGCGCACTTGTGGGGGAGAAACATGCTGTGAAATATTTATTGGAAGCAGCTCGGTTCAGGTAAATGGGGCTTCAAAATGAAATGTTGAGAAAGGTTATTATTATATTCCCTGTATCTTTTGCATGCAATACATCAATTGACAATCCATACGTATGATATGCTTAATAAACCAACAAGATTTCAGCACTTCCCTGTAAAGACCATTTCTGAAGTGGTGCGAGTGGCCGTTACTAGCCCAGCTGAATTTATTGCTGCTTTCAGAGCAGGGGAACAGACTGAGATGGAGTTTGATTTTATAGAGCACCTCTCATGCTCCAGGTGATTCCAAAGTGCTTTAGAAAGCAATGAGGGTGGTAGGAAGAGAGCAGTGGCACGGTGACTGCAGTCACTGTGCCCTTATTAATAGTCCTCTCCCCGACTTGGCTGTCCAGGGCCATCTCAGAGTTTTGTACCGAGCCCAAGAGGCAGTGGATGGATGAGCAGAGGATGCTCAGCCAGGGGTGAGGGAACTGGGGAACCCCCTGACACATCCCCCACCGCCTCTGAGCTGCACTGGGGTCACTCAATAAAACAAAGAAATTACCCTCGGCCACATAAAAATGCAGAAATGGATAATACATTAATAATTTCTCCTTTTTTGAAATAAAGAACCAAGGGGATCCCTCTGTCAATCTGGTCAGAACAACCCTTCTGACAGCAACTAGCAATTGATTTAGTTAAAGTCTCCCGTTGGATGGTGGATAGAGCTGATTAAAGCTGTGCATGCACTATTAATAGGAGCAGGATGCTGTTCTGTCATTATTATTAATTATGCTGCTGTGATTACTATCTGTTCATCCATCCATCCATCCTCCCTTCTATGATCCCAGCAGTGGCCGAGTACATATGAATACAAATTCTTGCTCTCTTTTTGTTCCCAGTTTTCCAGGGGAGGGAGGGGCGGGGAACAACAAAAAAAAAAAGACCAAAAACCCTAATTTACAGGATTTCTTATTAGTATGTGTGAGAGTGTGAGTGTGTCTGTGTGTGAGAAAGTGAGGGAGTGGGTGGTGGGAGATGGGTGGGTGTGACGCACGTGGGAGCATTCGTCTGTGAAAAATGCACAAAGGGAAAGTTAAGTCAAAGAAAAAGACTTTGCGTTTCATGTCGACCCCACTGGATTCCTGCCCCATCCTCCCTTCTGCAGTCCCACGGATGGGGTCTGACCCCCAGGAAACCCCTCGCCCACGTTCACAAGCACGTCCCTACCTGGGAGCCGGGTTCTCCTGAACTCTCGGCCACTTGTCCCCCAGATAGTCAGAAATTTGCCTTCACCAAATAATTAGACTGTGATAAGAGGAAACAAATGGGCCCTCGGAGCAGTGAGGGCTGCAATAAGAGATGAATTATTAGTCCAAGATGGAAATCTCTTTTGATAAATGACTGGCCCCAAGCAAGGAAGGATTCGGCAAAACACAACAACGTCCTTGTTGTGACACAAGGAAGAGGAAGGAACAACCTTATAAGGGGCAACAAAGCCCCTGCGCTGCCACCTTGACCAATTGATTAATCAAGTGTATCCCACGGCGTCAGTGTGTTTCCCTCTTTGCATTAGTTACAGCATCCCAACGTGGAGGACCAGCGATGATGTGTTCAGTTCAGGACCCGTTTTGAAGCCGCAGCTGAGGCTGCCCTGACAAATTCTGCCACAGAATTGGGAGAGCAAAGGAAAGAGGGGAGAGCAAAGCCTGCCCAGTACGTCCCAAGGAGCTGGGCCAAAAGCCATACAGCACCTCAAAGCTCCCACAGCCATCTCTGAACCAAAAGGGAAAGACAGCATCCCAACGTGGAGGACCAGCGATGATGTGTTTGGTTCAGGATCCGTTTTGAAGCCACAGCTGAGGCTGCCCTGACAAATTCTGCCACGGAATTGGGAGAGCAAAGGGAAGAGGGGAGAGCAAAGCCTGCCCGGCACGTCCCAAGGAGCAGGGCCAAAACCCAGTCGATCCACACAGCACCTCAAAGCTCCCACAGCCCAGCACAGAGCCACAGCCATCTGCGAACCAAAAGGGAAAAGAGAGGGAAGCAGGTTTTCCCCTTTTTCCCCTTCTGTGAGGTGGGGCGATGCCTCGTGCTCCAAGTGAAAGAACTGCCATTTATTAACGCTGGCCCAATTCCTGAGAATTTTAAAGCCTTAGTTCAGAGGAGGAAAAAAAAAAAAATAAAAAATCCATTGGCGTCGCTGAAAATAAACCTGACAATGTGGTGCTGGGCAAGGCACTGAGATCCGCAGGTTTTAACATCACAGCTTCTCCCGGGCTTTGAAGGTGGGGTGGTGGTGGTGGGGTCAGTATGTCTAACTCCAAGCAAGGTACAAGAAGGACCCCAAGACCTCATTGCCCAGCCATGGGCAATGGTGACACTATGGGAGTTTCGAAGTCCCCATAGCCTGGAATGCAGTTATCCCTGGGGACTGGTAACTGGGGCCTCTGGTATCACTATTTTTAGTGGGAGATTTAAGTAGAAACAGCAGAAATGTATATATATGTGTGTATGCTACATAACTTATATATATACTTTTTAAAAAGCTGACAGAAATAGCTTGGGCTGGAATTGCTAAACATATTTCTCTCTTTGTCCTCCCCCAGAAACCGCTACCAAAACATACCTCTCCATCTAATGAGATTAGCAAGGTACCATGCTAGATCTTTATTAGTTAAAGCTGACCAGAGTGCAAAACTTGGCCTGAATCGTAAACGAGCTGCCTGCCAGAATGAGGAGTGCAGCCAGCCAGCAGATTTATTCCAAATGGGTCTCTGCTCTTTGCCTTGGGGAATATGCTTCCCTCTCTTTAACTCCCTGAAAACTGGTACCCAAAGTTCAGCTCTCCTCGTGCTCCCCAAAGCCAGGGATCCCAGTGCTTCCTGCTCACACCGGCCTTATACAGGCTAAATTCCACCGGCCGTGGGGATTTGCACCTTACAAGGTAAGAGGGAAACAAGCTTATTTACTGTGATGGCTCACGGTAGGAGTTAGCACGGAGGACATTTATATATGGCAGTTCCTGCCTTCTCTACTTCCCTTGGAAGAGAGTTAGCACGGAGGACATTTATATATGGCAATTCCTGCCTTCTCTACTTCCCTTGATTGGAGAGACCAAAATATCAAATAGTAATAGTGGAGGCCTGGTTGTTGATACCAGCAGCGCTGATTTTCACAGCCATCTTCTGCCCTCAGACAAGTTACTGTGGCTCCCAACGTTTTTCTTTGGTAAAAATGAGGGCAGGGAGGAACAAGTGAAAAAGATAATTTCTATTACGAAATGAATGATGCTGGCCTCCCCTCACATGTAGTGGCCGAGAGGAAATCTTTCACAAGATCTACACATTCCTTTCCCAGGTCATGCCCAGAACTTCCTTTTAAAGGTCTCAGGAGGACCAAGCACATGCCTTGGGGGAAGGAACAGAGGCCAAAGCATGGCCGTGGACGAGCGTTTCACTGCAAACAAGTTTCTTGCTTTGGAGTAGAAATGGGAAGCATACGCAGAACAGATCTGGTTTCCATCAGCCCGATATTTATAGCATTGGTTTCACACCATGGATTATACACACTCGTGCTTGTTCTTTTCAGGCTCTCTCAGTGCTCTGCCACGCTTCCTTCTCACCTGAGCAATGAATCCATGTGTTTTACCCCGCCGTGATCAGGCTGTTCATGTCTCATTTAGTTGTGCCTTCACTAAATACGCTCCACAGAGCTTGGCTGCTCATGAAACGAGAGTTTGCAAGCAGAGAATCTCCAAAACACCTATCCGAGCCTCGGGCTAAGGTGGTGAAGACAGACTAGTTTATCAACAGTGCACAAGGGAGAGATCTCCTGGAGCCTTTGATTCAGAGACCCCAGAGGACTAACTACCTCTCTAGGGTTGGATCAATTGAAAACACCTTTGGCACAGAGAAAAATATGGTCTCGTGGAACAGTAAGTTACTCTGCTCAGCTACTGCACTCTAACAGCTGCGTGGTGGCAAAGACGCGATATGAAGTCCCACCTTGGCCAACTCACTGGAATCTGCACCAAAGACCTCCCATGCTACCATCCCGTATTAAAGAGCAGAGCTCTCTCGCTGGGCATGAAATGAGCTCCAACCCAGCACAGTTCACAAGGAAATGTGCAGCCCATCCGCTTGCTGATTACTCAGAGAGAGCAGCGTGAGGGTGGTAGGTCCCATCTGGTACGCCTGGAGTCACCCAACGTTGTTCTAAGTAGTGAGATTAAACAATGGCTGTTTGGTCTCTGCTGTTGATTGAATGAGATTTGTTGTCCATAATAAAACTCCTGGCACATGATCAGTCACTGTGTATAAACCCAGCTTACACTATGAAAAGCCAGGATAGTGTCAAACAGCTCTAAACCATCATTAAAACAGAGGCCATCCCCAGTTAACACATTCGGAAGAGCCATGAGAAAACGATGGCATTCTTCAGGTTCCCCTCAGGTAGACATAAGGGCAGAGAACGTGACTGATGGCTCTCCTTGGAAGTTCCCTGCCAACGTCTCCATCACAACACAAAGACTGAGACAATTTCTAAGAAACCCAGGACCAAACAACAGAAGATGACACAACACCATCCCTGAAGCCACAATCATCAGCATCAACAACCTACCCCTGCCAGATTTAACTGGGAAAGCAGGATGCGAGTCTAGATCACAAACATGGCATTTTGCCCCAAACCCGCAGAAGGAAAATTGACAGTAGCCTAGATAGTCTCCTTTGGAGAGGTGAGCTGGCCAAGTTGCCTTCCAGTAAGACCTCACAGCCATACTAGGGACTCCAGAGCCACTGCAATGGGCAGCAGAACAGGCACATTATGCCAGAGTCACCTTCTAGGCCATTGCAGCTCAGTGAGTGTTGACTTAGTTACCAGAAAACCACATAAGTACTTAGACTAAGCAAGATGTACTCAGGAGATGAGGTGATAGGTTAGTCTACTTACTACTCAACACGTAGGTGGTTCAAGTTAGGGCAGATGGATCTTACACCCTTCTTCTGGAATTTGAGGGCTTGATTCAGGTGCCTGAACAGACACCTGCATCCAGTGCCACTGCAGCCGTGGAAGACCTGCCAGTTCCACACAGATGTCTCAAATGGCACGATGTGCCTATTGGGCAACTGAGTGGTACCTGAGCAGGAATCCAGGAGGGAACTGCAATTACAGCTTGAGGGCTGCAGGACGGAGGGGAGCTGCTCACACTGAGATGCTTAAGGTGCTTAATAATTTACCTTATCAAAAAGAAGAGGAAGAAGTACCTTATTAACAATAAAGAGCACTTACTAAAGAGGAGATCTCTTACAGCAGAACTCTCTTTAATCCAACAGACAAAGTCGTACCAACATCCAATGGCTGGAAGCCAAAATTAGACAAATTCAAACTGCAAGGAAGGTGCCAGTTTGTAATTGAAAGAGTAATGAGCCATTGGAATTACTCACCCCAGGCTGTGATGGATTCTCCACCATCTGAGAGGATGCTGTTCTAAAAAGCGCCACGTTGCAGGCACATATTTCTGTGTTTGGGAATGATTGGTAAAGGCTTTCCAGCTTGCGTGAGTTGCTTATGCTCTAAAAAACAAACAAAAGAAGTATTATGCTGCTCAGTTGAAGATGGAGAAGGGAGGTGTAGTAAGTTCAAGCAGACAGCCTGTGACAGTACTAGAAGAGGCCACAGGTCACTTCCATGTCATTGCCCAGCCACTCTCCCACTCTCCAGAGCACCTCCCAGCCCCAGAGCACCCTGCATTTTCCTGGCAGCACCCTCAGCTAGGTGACAGCAGGCTCAGCAAGTAAACGCAAGAGTCACAAGGGCAGGTCCAGATGAGAGATGGGGAATGGATCATATCAGCCAAGCACTCCTACTGGGAACACCTCCAGCAACACCTCCGTAGCTGCTCCTTAGGAGAAGTCTGAGAAGAACAGGACAACCAGGTGAAGCATGGGTTTGCTGAGCTTTCTGCATGTCCAGCAAGAGCCCTCCCCAGTGACAGTTTGCCAGGACTCAGCTTTCTCCATGCCTTTGTCCAACACAACCGTGCTCACAGAACCCTCGATCATACACCCATGTTCTACAGATGGGTGCTCTGCAGACGACCTGCTCTCTGGAGAAGAAGAGCGTTGCCATCTCTTGCATAAGATATAGGACAAAGTACACATAAGAGGTATATTTTCCTCATACTTGCAGCAGGCAGGAAAAAGAGAAAACCACAGGGGAAATGGTCATCTGCCAAGACACCTCCATGCTGGACCCGTTGTATGGGAACGCCCAATGCCAGTCATCACAGAAGAGCAATAAACACCCAGGCTCAGATACTCCCTCATTGAGAAAGTCTATTTTGATGACTTCAAGAGTATATAATAAAAATTAGCAGGAAGGGCAAACAGAGGTAAAAGTGTGTGAAGGCTAGACTGACTCTCTGTTGGACCCTGGGGAAGAGGTAAACCCCAGAACTGGGTGAATAAATGATTTCTTTGCTTCTCTGGTAAATAATTTCAGGTTGCCCTCACAAAAAAGACACAGAGATCAATTCACCCCACTTGAAATAAAAACATGTTTTTAAAGATGCTTAGATATCAAATAAAATGTTTCACCAACTTTGTCCAGTTTCATGTGGGGGCTGTGAAAAAGGCTTTTGAGAAATTAAATGTAGGTAAATGTCTAAGACACCTGTTTTGAAATAACCAGAAGTACGCCAGCTTGGAAATGGCAAAATAAAACCTTCTGAGTCAGAACCATTACAGATAGTCTTTCTTGGCTGAAAAGATGTAATATAAATTTGTGGACAGTTTCTATAAAAGCCCTGCAGATGCGTTGGGAGGATTTCATGTAGACCATAACCAGAAAGGACTCTGCAACACACCGGCGTGGGACAGCCCAAACAGAGAAACTCTGTTCCTCCTCCTCTCCCCAGTCTTTGCCGGCAAACACATCACTACAGTTAACACACAAAACACCATTCATTATAGTCAGAATCCAGGAGCACAAAGTTAGCTCTTACACCGAGGCCAGGATCAAAATGTAACAAAAATCTCAAAAAGCAAAGGTGAAATATTGAGCTCTCTGAAAGTTCAAACAGAAAGACAAGTTGCTGTTTCTCAGGCAAATGTGAAAATATTATAAAAGTATCTTTAGCTTTATTCATTTGAGTTTACTCACATCCAGAAGGTGCTCCAGGTTGACACATGGTAGGGTGGCTCAGGGCAAAATTCAGCCCTTAGGAACAATAGTTTGGGTTCACACCATCACTGTGTACCCAACCGCCTGGGCTCAAAGAAGCCAGAACTGCTCAATATTCAGCTCATTCTGCAAGTCTTTGGTTCAAGAGCTGTGTTACCTGATGTTTGTATGTGGCTCCTGAACATCTACAGGGCTCCTAGAGGTGCTCCGTGATCCCAGTATAAGTTATCAGGAATAGTTATGGCTCCAACTACACAGCTTCTTAATGACTCAGAAGCTACTGGGAATGTCCAGACCTTTGTTGAGAAATCACTAAGAACTACCCAAGCTGTTGTGGACATGAGAGGGATTGTTATTACAGTAATGTGGGATTCCCACACTCAGGTGGGAACCCAACCACAGAGAGACCACAAACAACCCACGCAAAGGCACACAGGATGTCAGTACATGCTGAGAAAGAGAAAAAAGCCAAACCAGATTTGGCCAAGGCCAGCCCAGTGGCTTGCCCTTCCTTGTGACGGTCAACGGAAAATTTCAGCAGGTGACAGAGGGAAGAAAAATTTGGGTGGATGAGCCTGAGAAGTGGAACAGAGGCTGAACTTTAGGGAGAACCTCCTGCCTGCAAGCCTGGCTGAACAGACTCCTGAAGGAACCATCTCACTTAGAACATTTTCCTTGGACTGAGTGAAACCCCACAAAATACACCCTGTGCAACCCTTTGCATGGAGGGGGCAGACGGGCCCCATCACTTTGTGGGCTGAGCAGGTATTTTCCATGCAATAATCACCAGTCTGTGCAACCTTCCTGCTTCCAAACTTCCAGGCTGGCTGTTTTCCGAAATGACTGCCCAGGTTTGGACTGGCTCAGTTACCCCAGGAGGCTGAACACCCACAGCTACAGATACCCCTTCCCTTCCAGCAGCCAGTATGACACTGCCTGAACCACAGGAAAAGCGGGACAGATGAGAAATTCTTCCCTCTCAACGGGAAATACAGCAGTCAGGATACCGAGAGGGTGGTCTGCCTGTTAATTCAGGAGACAGAATTCAAACTGAAAGCTCCATGTGGAGCAAATTAGCAGAAACTAATTCTAATCCGTCCCACGCTGGCACAGAGGCACGTCAGCCCTGCTTAAAATTGCACCTCCCTTCAGATCTAGGCTGCCCCTTGTCCGACGTGGGGAGAAAAAAGGACGGGGAGAGGCTGCATCGCAATCCGCGTGCAGATGGTCCATATTATTGAACCTCTGTGGAGTATCAGCCACTTGCCCCGGTGCCCCATGATAAATCACAGCCTCCTTCAATGTTCTCGGGGAAGAGCAACGCTCTCCCGGCCTCTGATTGGGTTGAAAGTCTGACTAGTTAAGGAGATGTAAATACTGAGCCCCTATCAGCCCGTAATTGTCATCATCATCCTGTTTAGGGAACTACTCACATCTTTGAGCAGTTACTCCGTGTCTCCTCCACCCCAGGAGAAGGTCTGGAGCCCATTTCCGGCAGCCGGCAGAGAGCTGCTTTCCTTTAGTTGACACAAACAGGGTTTGTCAGCTTGTGCATCCTCGGTTTCTGCCTGGTTTAAACTTGCTGCAGAGTCCTTGGGAGCGGCTCCGCAGCTGGAAACGGAGAACTCACAACCCTGGCCACAAAGGTGCCCATTCAGCAGCCGCCGGTCCCCCAGGTCCTACCCAACAAGAGCATCCTCTGTGCGGTGGCCGTCGGGACGGGGTCCTCGGTCCCCACCTGAGAGGGGGGAAGTGACACTTCCAGTGGCTCTCGCGGAAGGCAGAGCCAAGACGTGTGCATTCACTTTCTTCTGCAGACAGAAAACTGAAGAAACACCCTGCCGGGCCAAAATAAATATATTTGGCATCTTTCCTGCGTCTGCACCGGCACGATCGTGGCGCTGAAACTGAAAACAGGCCTGAGCCTTATTTACACTAAAATCTCTTTCCATCACTTTGGCAGTAGGAAGGGGCTTAGTCTTGGTACATATTATATTTTCTTTTCAACATGTGTAAATGAGGATCAAGCTTTTACATTGCTTAAAATAGATGTAAATGACCCTTTATGCTGTCGGAACGGTGTCGAGAGGCCTTCCCGCAATAAAAAAAAAATCAGCCCCATTATGCTTTCATATCATGCTCCATTCATTTACTTCCAGTTTCCCAAACCTGGGCAACTCCCCTTGACCTTGGCAATCTGTGCTGAGATTTTACGCAGCTGGGACTAAAACCAGGGGCAGGAGAAGGTGCGTGAGCTCAGACAGAAACACATCAAACCCTTCAATCTAAACTGGACTGGAACACCCACCTGGAAGACCCATCCCCAATGGGCTCTAGGCCATCTGTGATAGATTTATTCTTTCGATTTGTTGTTTTGAAGACTTTTTAAAAAAACTTTCTATATTCCAGTTGTCTTTACAAAACCATGAGAGGGAGAAAAAGAGAGGCAGAGAGAGAACAAGACGACATGCTGGGCTGCCATCAGGGTTCTGATGCCTCACAGATGGACTTGCCATGCCTCCTGCTCAGGCCCAGGGGAAGCCACCACCACATATCCCTGTCCAAGCCACTGGCTTTTCTCAGCTACCAGTTTGCTCTGTGCACATCAAAGGAAACCCTGATGAGAAAGGAACCGGCCTTCCCTGGATCTCTACTATTAAATGCACTAATTTTCCTTGAAGAGACAGTCTCTGAGCACTGACCACGCAGGCAGATGAGCAAATGGCTCTATGAGCTATCCCAGCTTTTGGTGGTTAAGGTCAGCGATGGGATCCCCATCCCTTCTGCCTGATTGACACAGAGGACATCCATTAGCCAGCAAGAGCTGCCCAAGGAGCAGCTCAGCCCAGACAGCCTGGCAGCCCAGGAGAAGGTCTCTCTGGCTAAGGCAGCCCATGCCCTTAGGCTCAGTCCTGAAGGAAGTGTCTCCAGGTACCTCAGGGATGCAGACCCTGATTTCCATCTTTCTGCCACTCCGTACGGCAAGTAAATTATTAGAGCCCTCAGAAGAAGGTGATATATTTCCACATTGGTGTCTTTTGCCAGTGAGTAAGCTCTAGAGCCAGGAGGGGGTTAGCTGTTACCCTGATTAATTACTGCCGGTGCTCCTTGCTGCCCAAACTGCCTTCTCCCCTTTCAGCTCCTACTTGTGGTGCGAACAACTGAAAGAGAAGGGCTTTCATTCCACCTTCCAGACTATTAAAGCCAGACCCCATCCACGTTACTGCAGCCCCGGCCTCTCTCGCTCCGCCAAATGAGGCCTGCTCATAAACCGCCCCGTTCCTTCGGAGCCACCATCGCATGCAGAGACGGCCTGACAGGTCATCAATACCATCCACCCCTAAGAGCCAGAGGAAGCAATACTCAACCCCACAGCACAGCCAGTTACTGG